AAAATTAGATCACCAACTTACGCCATACACAGGAATAAACTCAAAATGAATAAAAGTCTTACATGTAAGATGTGAAACCATAAAAATTCTAGAAGAAACCATAAGCAGCAAAATCTCAGGCAACTCTCGTAGCAATATGTGTGTGGATATATCCCCTAGGGCAAAGGAAACTAAAGTAAAAATAAATGGGATTACATCAAAATAAAAAGCTTCTGCACAGCAAAAAAAAGCATCAAGGAAATATAACAAGAGTGCCTCCTGCATGGGAGAACATACTTGGCAATGATACATCTGATAAAGGGTTAATATCCAAAATATATAAGGAACTCATACAACTTAAAAAAAGGAAGAGAAACAATCCAATTAAAAAATGGGTAAGGACCTAAATAAACACTTCTCCAAAGTGGACATACAGATGGCCAAGAGACATATGAAAAAATGCTCAAAGTCACTGATCATCACAGACTTGCAAATTAAAATGACAATGAGGCATAACCTCACACCTGTCAGAATGGCTACCATCAACACAACAAATGACAAGTGCTGGGGAGGATGTGGAGAAAAGGAACCCTAGTACACTGTTGGTGGAAATGCAGACTGGTGCAGCCACTGTGGAAAACAGTATGGGTTTCCTCAAAAAATTAAATATGGAACTGTCATTTGACCCAGTAATCCCATTTCTAGGAATATATCCTAAGAAACCCAAAACAACAATCAGAAAGAATGTATGCATACCTTTCTTCATAGCAGCACAATTTACAATAGCTAAGATCTCGAAAAAGCCCAAGGGCCCATCATTAGATGAGTGGATAAAAAATCTGTGGTACATTTATACTATGGAGTACTATGCAGCAGAAAAAAGGATCTCTTACCCTTTGAGACAGCACAGAGGAACATGGAGAGTATTATGCTAATGGAAATAAGCCAGTCAGAGAAAGACAAGTATCACATGATCTCACTCATATGTGCAATCTAATGAACAAAATAAATTGTTGAATAAAATAGATCCAGAGACATAGAAGCATGAAACAGACTGTCGAATCTCAGAGGGAAGGTGGGAGTGGGTGGGTGAGAAGAGATCAACCAAGGAACTCTTATGCATATATTCATAACCCATGGGCACAGACAATAGGGTGGTGGAAGCCTGGGAAGGAGGGGCGGGGGCAGGGGTGGGGGGCGCCATAATGGGGTCAATGGGAAAAAAATGGGGGACATATGTAATACTTTCAACAATAAAGATTTTAAAAATAAGAGAATGATGACAAAAAAAAGCTGTATTCTTTTTTTCAAAGTGAATCTGGTTTTATTTTAGATTGTCAAAGTATACTTAAATTGTCAAAAGCTAACTTCATTTTGTTAAACATTTCAAACACCCCACCCAAAATAGTAAGAAATAAAGTGACTGTAAATGGCTGTTGAGTTTTTCCTAATAAAAGCAGCAGTTGTTCAAAAAAATTTTTTTCTATTTATGCCTAACAACCTTAGTTTGTTGTTTTTCCATTCCTCACTTCCCCCATCACGATTGCACTGAATGCATATTATCTTGTCACTTTGTTAAATACTTCCTTTCCTAAAGCAACAAGAAATAAATCATTTGTAAGAGCAAGTGTGTATAAAAGTTGTGTTCTTAGAAGTGGTCCCCTAAAGACATAACTGCTGGCAACTTCTTCCTGAGCCTCTTCTCTTCTATCTGATTCACTTCTGACTCACTTCTTACAACCATTTAGCTTTGTTTCTTTAGCCTGAGAATTCTCCAAATGGTTTTCCCCCTTCATCAGAAATCAAAGGTTGAACACTGCTTTGTCAGAGCTCTGCTGTTCTTGAAAGTGGGGAGGAGAAAAGCTCACTAAAAAGAGCCAGGAGTCTAACTTTTTAAGCAAAGGGAAAATGCATTCTTTTGTTTGACTAGCATTTTCATCTACCTGTGAGTTCTACAGATATTTATCAGTTTACCTTTGTTCCTGAAAGTTAGAAAGAATGCTAATAGTTGTTGGGAAGTAATCATTATAATCTAACCTGTTAGAAAAGATGATGCTGACTTTCACAATACAATGCATTGTTGGAAGTCATGAGTCAGACTGTGTTGAAACCTCGAGTGCATATGATTATTCCAACATTCACAGCCACCTTTCGGAAATGCTTGGAATAGTCTATACCCAGGTGAGAGTTAGTCTGATTGCTATTAGGTAGCAGCCATGTATTAGAAAGTGAAATGATGCTCAAGAAGCTATTCTGCTAGGAATTACAAACATGTTGAATAATGAGTACGCAAAGGTGCACAGTGACGTGTTTACTTTTCTCAGCTAAAGATTAATACAATTTAAATAACTAACAGTCCACCAACTTACACACTTTTTGCTCTAATGAACTCAATGAAATAAAAATAAGTTAAATTGAACATTTGGTCAACTATTATGGATCCCAAACGTAAACTATCTACACTAATAAAAGAGAAACATGGTAATTGGCGTACGACCGCTACCCTTCCCATTGGCTAATCAGCATATACTTATGCAAATTAACTGTCAGCCAAGATGGAGGCTGGCAGCCATGCACTAAAAAGCGAGCA